GGGTTGCGATCCCATTACCGGTCAGTAAAAAAGACAAAAAGGAAAAAAAAAAAAAAAGAACACAGATTTTGGAGCTGTAACACATGTCTGAACCCTGGCTGTGCCACTCATTAGTGTGTGACTATGGGTGAGTTACTCAGCCTCTCTGTGCAGCAGTTTATATAATAACTGAACCTAACTACCTCACAGGTTGCTATAGGAATTAAATGAGTACTAAAAAGTGCTAGAACAGTGTCTTAAACTACATAAGTATTTACAATTATGTACAGATGATGGTGATGATATCACTATCAAAACCAAACCTTTTTTTTAACCTTTCTCAAACACTTATATACCATTATTTTTCAGATTTTAAAAACATGAACTCTCATAATCTTCCTAACAATTGAAGATAATGGTATTTTTATTCCTATTTTACAAATGGGTTGTGCAGAAAAAACAAAAAATTACTTAGTTGGGTTACTTAGTCTAGAAGTAACCCAAATAGGAAGTATTGCTGTCCACAAACATAAAATAGGCTGACTCTAATCTGCAAAATTATTTTTATATAAAAGAGTTTATTTGATTCTGTGTACCAGTTACTAGAAGTTAGACTCTGGCAAGGGGTACATTATCAAGTTAAAATACATACACACACACACACACNTGCACTGTCAGGACCACTTAAGTGGCATCCCCTACAGTCTTAGAAGGTGAGAAACTTTTTTAAAAACTTTAGAACACAAAAAGTAGGTCTCTAAATACTACTCCAAAACACACTAAACATACGTAAATCATATTACTGAGCCGAAATAAAAACAAAAACAAAAACCAGCAGTCTCACTGTCTCCAAAGAAGTTATTTCTCTACCCTGCCCACAGTAATATAAACTAATCAAGTTAGATTCAGTTGATACTGATTATTGCTTTTTATTTATAGGAGCATGTCTAAATCAAGCAGTAAAAAAGTTAGATGCAGTAGTTCAAAATGCACAAGTAAATCAAATATTAGACACTGATTACAACAGTTCAAAAGGCTCACAAAATTATCACTTAGAATGAAAAAAACAAGTTTTATTTTACCTACAAAACCAAATTTAAAATTTCTAAATACACCACAATGTCCATATTATTTTAAACAGTACATTTATGTGTCAAAAGGAATTTTTGCATTAAAAATTTTTATTGAAAAATAACCAAATTAAAGTAAATCCCATCATGGAAAAAATCTTTGTACTGGACTTTAAGATTTCCAAAACTCAGCTAATACCTCAATTAACACTATATTTGTTACAAAAACAAGTGGCTACAGCATCAAGAAAACCTAGATAGTTCCATAGAATCTATGATAAAAGGATCTGACCTATATTCCACATGGCCTAGGTTAGTCTTTCTTAAAGTATATTGTCAAGAAACGTAAGTTTTACTATACCACCACCACTAGCACTCAGTAATAACTTAAAAAAACAACTATTTTGGGGGCCGGCCCGGTGGCGCACTGCTACAGTGCGCCGCTTGGGAGCGCGGAGGCGCTCCCG